TACTAAGTTCAAAGTGATCCTCGCACCCTAGTAGTTAAGAATATAAGCCATGGGCCACTATGCCTGGCTTCCTTGGATGCTTTCAAAAGTCTGACGCATAGGCCACATTTCAGATGAATCAAAGTTTGAGATCACTGCTCTAACACCTCTCCTGGTGCCAGTGTTGGAAGTTGGGGACTATGAGGAAGGAAGAGTCCCCATCATGTAAGAGGTAGAGGAACAGGGCACAGTGAGGCAACACTCTCCATGCAGAGAAGCTGACAGCCATTGCCACCAGGAAAGTAAGCTTGGAATTTATTTCCTTCAATACCAAACTCTCACCTTTATCCACATGAGGGAACCACATACTGTCAGAGGCCTACAGAACACTTGAGGCTGAATCCGGAGAAGAAAACTAACTGGTAAAGATCATGGTGAGTTTAATGACAGGAACAAGATTAGAACTCATCTCCTCTTAAATCTTAGTGCAAGGCCTTTTCACTGTTATATGCTGAATACAGCACTGTCTAGTCTTAGGAGCAAGGACTCTGGTGAGCAAGAGCCTGAATGAGAAGCTGGCTCCACTGGTTCAGTCTGTCACATTAGGCCATTCATTTCATTCCCCTGAGTCTTAACTTTATCACCAGGAATGTGGTGAAAATAATAGCAGTTACCCAATACAGTAGTGAAGACAGAAGGAGAGGAAAGAAACAAATAGTGCCTGGCAGGTAGTAAGTGTGCAGTGATGTTAGTTTTCTTCCTATTATTTAGAAAGGTCAGGGCAGTACCCTGAAGAGGAAAGAAAAAAGTAGGGATAGTTATTTGGGTTGAGGTTGATGCTCACAATGTCCTAGAGCTTCCAAACATTATCATGTTTTTAAAAGACTTCCTATATAGTCACAATTCTAAACCAAAACCAGCTCTTACATCAACTGTGACCTAAAGGGTGTCAGAACCTCTAGGCATCCTTACCAGGCAAACTATTTTTCCTAAGTGAAGAAATGCCCGTGAAAATGCTACTCCTGCTGAAGGTGCGGTACAAATGTGAGATGTGGATCGTTCCTTTCAGTAATGGTATGCATCACCACCACCACACAATCCATCTCATCCAGTTTCAACTCCGGTATGTCACCTCTAAAGCACTGTAATGAGCAGGAAGCAGGGCAGAGCCTCTTCCAGAAATCCTAACATTTAGTCCTAAAAAAAAATGCTCAAATGCAAAGAAAGCTAAGAAGCATGGAAAAGAAAAACAAAAGCAATTTGGCTTTTGAGCCAACAAAAGAGAAACCCATTAGAAATGTCCAAGGAGCAAGATGAGATAGCCCTAAAAAGTCTCTAGGTCCAAACTTTTCTAGTCTGGAATGTACCTCACACAAGAGTCAGTGACACATTTGTTGCAAAGGATTTGATAACCACCAAAATAATTTTATAAAAACATCAAGGAAACTCAAATTCCTTATTTTCTGAATTAATCAAAATGGTTGAAGGATGAGGACACTGTTTGATAGTCATTGTCTCTTTACTTTCTAAATTATATGGAAATTTTAAATTTGATTTTTTACAAGCATTTTTTTTTTTGTAATTTTGGAAAAGGAAGGAAGGGAAAAAGAAGGTATAAGGGGCAAAAGGTTTAAAGAATTACATGGACTGAAAATTTCAACACCATTCATTGATGAATCCTCTGGAGAGTCAAAAAGTTGCCCTTCTCAGAGTGAGCTAAACAGATCCCAGGGCACCTAGGCTTTGGCACAGGTCAACAACAATTACGCCTCTCCTGACCAACCATGCTCCTCCTGCCTCCTCTCTGCTGAGGTCACCTGTCAAACACCTAGGAAATGTAACTCTTAACAGTAATTTTATCTTCCTGTTTATACAGTGCCTCATTCCTTGTGGGGGGGGGGAGGGAAAGAGGAAGGAGGGGAAAAAAAGAGAGGGAAGGAAGGAGAAAGGTAAAAAAATAACTGCTTTTCAGACACAAGGCCTTTCTCAATACATGAAGATACTACTATCTTCAAAATTCCTTTCTTAGCTAGGTGTGGTGTTCACACCTGTAATCCCAGCACTAGGGAAGCTGAGGTGGAAGATCGTAAGTCCCAGACTAGCCTAGGCTACACAGCAAAACCTTGTCTCAAAGGAAAGAGAGAAAAAAAAAAATCCTTTCTTGACAATAATCTACAGGCCAGGGTAAAAAAGCATGGTCACCTCAGGTCTATTCCCAAACACATAGCCCTCTTCCCTCTTCTTTAGCCCTTCTTTTCTTTGTATCCCATAGGTAATTTAAGATTTGGTAATCTGACATATACTGTTCAGTCCCTGGGTAGGCTAAATTCTTCACTCCTCATAGTGCTGAGCCTAAACAACTCCCCAGAGATATTCTGGAAGGCAGCAAAAGCCACACTGGGAAGAAAAGAGCTAAATGTAGAAGAGGTGCTGAAGAAGTACATATGTATGATCTGAATACATTGCCCTCAATTGATGACTCAATTAAAGACATCAATGAAGATTCTCAGATACTCCTTTCAGCAAAAGAGTCACTTATGTCCCTTGAATCTCTCTGTTCTTAAGTGTAATCACTTCTTACCTGTCTTATTACTCAGCAGATTTTTTAAACCACTGTATCTGTAAAAAGATAACTGTCTCTAACTTGACCTTAGAGGCACTGAGGGAATAAAATGACAGCTTATGTGACAATGGTTTGAGAATTAGCACATACCCCACTCCAAATGCAAGGCAGTTTTTCTACCAACCACACCTGGAAGCTAGCTTAGAATATGATCCCAGGTCTGTGGAAAGCTTTTTAAACTTAACATAAAAAAAAGTCAAGTGTTTACAGTCCTTACCAGGCTCAATTACTCACAACCAACACATTATACATTCAGCTGTTTTCTATCAGATGTTAGGGAAAAAAAGACAAAAATTCCTTGTGAATTTTCTTGACAGACTAGTAAATAATATATCTGTTCAATGTAGGCATAGAATATACTTTAGAATTTCATAAATAAATTTTCTCAAAAGTCTACCTTTTTTAAAACCAAGATACTGCCAAGGTGCTGGTGGCTCACGCCTGTAATCCTAGCTATTTGGAAGGCTTAGATTGGAAGGATCATGGTTCAAGGCCAGCCTGGGCAAAAAGTTCACAATACTCCATCTCCAAAATAACCAGAACAAAATGGACTGGAAGTGTGGCTCAAGCAGTAGAGTGTCTGCTTTGCAAAGCATGAAGTCCTAAGTTCAAACCTCAGTGCCACCAAAACAAAACAAAACCCAGGATACCACCACCTTCTCCATCACAGGTCTGTGGTACAGTAAAAATGCAATAGTGTAGTCAGTATCTTAGTGCCTTAAACATGATACTCTAAGACAGTTCAATGCAATGCAAGTGAAAACACTTCTGCTAGCAGCCTCCTATTCTCTGCCCCTCCCCACTACTTCTTCCTAACTGTGAAGAAAGATACTTTTGGGCTGCTGAATCTCATCTTCTAAGGCAGCCAACCCAATGGAAAAAACCAGCACTGTTTTCACTGTTAATCTGCTGCTTAGAAATCATTAACTCCAAAGCCATTCAGGACTGCACTGGTTAGCCAGGACTTGTAATTGTATGTAATTATTTCAAAGGCTTGAGAAGGACCATTTAGCTAGACACACCACTCTCCTCTTTCCTCATCCATACCACCCCACTGCACTTGGGACTTTGTGACAAGGGTTCAGCCAGGAATGTTGCAGGTCCAACTCTCATACAGAGTGAAAATCTTACACAGATCAGCTCACCTACAATGGAGAAGGCCATCATTGGCTTACAGAAAACATTTCCCTATACCCTTCATCCTCATGTTGAATATGGCATCCTTTAAAAACAACAACAACAAAACCCTAGATCACTCTACAAAAAGCTACTGTGGAAATCAAATGTCAGGTTCTGGCCTGTTGTGATCTGTAACCATGTGACTCCACACCTTCAGGCATTCAGAATTAAATCTGGTAGCCAGAAGAGGCATTGGCTGTCCCTTCATCAGCTCACTAGGGCTGCAACGCCATCACTTTCCTTTCATACTGCATAATGGAAACCGAATGTAACTAAACCTTTCTTGAATCTGCCTTTTTAATTTTCCAAACAGTTTAAGGAAGAACTAAATGCCTGTTAAATAGGTCCTTTCTTTTTCCTAAATTGATTCTTCCAGTTTCTAGAAATGTTCCTATGGATTTAAAGAACAATTTTGTGTCCTCCTTAAACAAAATGAAACAATGCTGAAAATAAAAAATCTCCCCTCTTTAGTATGACCTCGAACAGTAGCCCTGTCTCCCACTGGTCATTTTGTAACAGAGGAAAAAACATCAGATTGGAAGACAAGACCTGGGCACTTAGGCTAGCTCTCCCAAAAACTCACTAAGGGACACAGAGCCACTGGGTTCACTTTTCTGGCTCTCAGTTGCTTGCTGTGATGGACGTGGAAAAGCTGCTATTCATGTTGTTAGAAAGCTCCAACTTTTATAGTTTTATTTTCTCTTCTTGAAACTTTCTGGTACAGCCTCATCCCACATGTCCATAGGGTTTCTATGAAATTTCTAATGAATTACACACAAATACTTATGTTCACCTTGCACAATGTACCCTCCCAAACCATGCTGCCCACTGGAGACCTATATAATATACATATAAGGCACTGAGCTTCACATAAGGTTGGGTCATATGAGATGCCAGCATTTAAACATTTTTGAAATACAAAAATAGCAATTCCACATAGTCCAACATACTATACTGACTTACTTAATTCTCCTAGCAAACCTATGAGGTGAGTGCTGTTGATACCCTCATTTCACGAGTGAGGAAATGGAAACATAGAGAAGTTAGTAAATGATGGGGCCTGAATTTAAACACGGGCAGCCAGGCTCCTGGGTTTAACCATAACATTACATTGCTTCTCAAAATGGAAATAAGAAAAGCTTGAAGACCAGGAATCCAGAGCAAGGTAGGGTCTCAGAAGGAGTGAGAGGCTAACATTGCAGCCTCTGCTCGATTGTACCTTTTACTTCGATTGTGGCATTTGCTTTAGGAGCGCTGACAAAATGATATACACAGTGGTATTCGCCTGAATCCTCAGCTCTTGGCTTATTGATCCTGCAAAAATGAGAAGAAAAACAAAGTGATGTAACTGGGAATGTTCAAAATATACAATAAAAGGAAAATCAAAGAGGCAACAAGGACCATGTTTTACAGATCCTGTTCTGTAACGCATCTCACCTCTTCCTAACTAAAAGTAAAACCTCCTCTATATACCCCAAAATATTGTCTTACTCCTTACTGGGTGCCTGGAGTACAGGGATGCAATAGCCCACGACTCCCCAACCTTAAGATGCGTCAGTCTATTGGGAAAAACAAACTGTAAAACAAGTAATCAAAACTAAAGGGTTGCACAAAATACTACAATTTATAATGAAACAGAAGAAGAAGCCATCACTAAAATTTTGCTCATCTGGTGGTTCGAGTCATGGAAACAAGAGGGAAAGTGTGTACACCTACACATGCCTTCTCTCAGCTTCCCTAAATGCTATTTAGCATGCCTTTTAGTAAGTATACTAACCGGACCCAGGCATACTTTAAAAACAAACAAATAAATCTGCCAGTCACAGAGACGCAGAAGTGGTGGGGCGCGGTGAGGAGCCTATCATAAATTCCTGGGTCCTGCATGATCTGGCTCCTGCTTACCCCCCTAGTCTGACCCCATGTCATTTTCTAGCTCTGCTAGCTCTTTCAATGTGCCAAATCTGTTCCTAACTCAAAATCTTCACACAAGATGCTTCTTTACAAAGAATATTCTTCCAATCACTTTTAGCCTACCTAACTCCTTTTTCCATCAGGTCTGAGTTTACACATCACTTCCACCCTACATCTAAATTTCCTCCTCCTCCTTCTCTCTCATACTACGGCGTGGTTCTCAGCACTTAACACAATGTGTAATTACATATTTATGTGATTGCTTAATATCTGACTTCCCAACAGACCAGGCTGTAAGTAGGTAAGCACTGTTTAATTGACACACAATTCTGTACTAGTCCTCACCTGATGCCTACATTACAATAGGGGAATTAAAAAACAAATGAATAATTGAATGAATACAAACTCAGAGTGAACAGCTGTCTACAGACCCAGACCAAGTTAAATAGAGTACCTGTAAGAAACATGTGTGGCAAAAATGCCCTTCTCTCAACTTCACAGGAAATCCTCAACAAGCTTTCTTGCCTGAGGGCAACTTCACACGGCCTCAATATACTGTATCTTATACACACACATACACCAAACACTCAGGTTAGTGAGTAATTACAGAAACAGAATCAACAGCCTCCAGATCACTTCTGCCTACTGGTTAAAATATGGCACTTCTAATGATCAAATCTCCATTGTACTAATATCTAATAAAAACTAACCCTGTCAACTGACTGGCCCAATGTACTTATCAATCTTACTGTTCATTCCAAAAAAGAAACACACACACACACACACACACACACACACACTCACACACATGGAAAATGGAAGGAGAAGAGAAGAGGAAAGAAAAGAGAACCAAAACACAGGGTAACATGATGGCTGAGGTAAAGCATAGCCCATCTTCAGGAGCATCTCAGCATATATTCTAAACACAGTATTATAAAGGAGCAGCAAGATGTCTTCTCAATTTAATACAAACATCCCATCTGGAATCTATGCTCCCAGTAGGAAATAAGAAGCAAATCAGCTGCTCTTAACAAGTATTCCAGAGTTTGAGGAAGGAGCAGCCACTGTATCTTCAGAGTTTAGCTTTTTAAGTTCCTTCAGAAATATTTGGGAAGACTCCCAAGCTTGACAACATATCTGTGGATTCAAAATCTCCCCACACTATCCCCTTGGACTGGCAATTTGGAAACAACTGAAACAAGTAGAAAACGTTCCCTACAGGCTAAGCCAATGCTCCATGGCTGACTTGAATATTTCCTGAAAAATTATAGTTATGCAGGACGTACCTTAAGAGTTTCAAATAAGCTGAAAGGGAGAGGGGAAGAGGCATTATAAAGTCAAGCTGAAACTTCATGAAGTTACAGCTCAAAGCTTTTGTGGCAACAGCACAAGACCCAAGGGAAACAACTGGATATCTGCCACCTTCAAGGAGGTATTATAAAAAAAACGAATCTGTAAAACTAATGGACACACCAGAAATAAATGCCTTTCATTCCACCCAAGGCATCTCTGATTAACCGTTTCCAAACTCTGAGGACATAGTTGAGGCTATATTTTCTTTTTATTGGGCAGTACTGGGAATCAAACCCAGGGCCTCATTCATGCTATGCAAGTACTCTACCACTGAGCTGTTATCACCAGCCCTTATATTTCCAATTTGGTATCAGAAGAAAGTACAGTGGAGAAAGGCTGGCTAACTTGCTACTAAGTGGTATAGTATGGGGGAGGGATTTTAGAAACAATTCTGTAAGTCTGAAGATCTGGAACCTAGTCTTGGTTCTAAAACTTGTAAGATACAGTATTTGGCCTTAAAAGCAGTCAGGAGTTATTCCTTGGGTCTTAAGTTTCCTCACTTAAAAAAGAAGAAGGATCTACAAATTCATGTCTATCAATTAAATAAGGGATGTGGCAAGATCTGTCTGAAAAATGCTGCAGAATGCCCTGGCTACTAGTGGGTACCCAGGTTTTCCTGACCTCACTCAAGGGCTTTCTTTCTTCATACAGCATTGATCTGCAAAGCAGGACTAGCAAGGATCCTTTTCCAGAGCAGGTTTTAACCAGAAACACACTATGAGGTGCCACGTGTTCTAGACACTCAAAAAGCAAACCTTTGGGTGCACGTTAACTCAGACCAGCAACTCTCTTTTCCTCGGAGGATATTTCTGGACCACAGTCCTCCTTCAGATCACTAAAGAGCCTTGTATCCAACTGGTTCTGATCAGGTTTTAGTGAAAAAAGTGATGTTACTCCTTAAAGGTAATCCATTAGGACATCTACCAAGCAGAAAGATCACTTAGGGAGATGTCTCAAACCTAATTTCAGTTTGATCCCTCAAATCACTGAATTAAATCAATAAACCTGCATGTTTATTGTGACTCTACTATTGACTAGCACTGTTACCCTGAGCAAATCACTCCCTCTTGCCCTGTTTCTCATTGTGAGGGGGATCATCTATGGCTCTCAAACCTGGCTGACCATTAGAGTAATTTAGGAATCTTATGATTCCTGGCCTCATCTCAGATATACCGGATTGAACTATCCAGGAGAGGTCCAACTATATTTCATGACAAAGTTCACAGTTTGGTATATAGTTCAGTTCAATGAAATAAAAGAGCTCACATTACATTTTTTTTAAGTAACGATCTCAGACTCATCTTTTCAATATGTGTATGTAAACTCCCAATAAGGCTTGAAATGCATTGATAAGAAAGGCCCTTAATGAAGCAAGAAAAAACACAGGATTTACAGAGGTCACAGTTTGGCAAACAGTTCAACTCGCTGGAGTGAAACAGCCCAATGTGTCTTTTAAGTAACATTTCAGACTTATCATTTCAACACAAATATGTAAGTTCCTAATGATTGAGGATTATAAATGTCAAGTAAGCTCAGCCACACTTCCTCTCATATTCCTAGGAACTACTAGCCTCTCTCACCTGTATTCCATGTTGCTGGCATTCTTACGAGTGGCCGTCAGTTCTACCCCATTCTTTGTCCAGTAGCTGTATGTAAGGGTGTGAGAGCTGGAGGTGAGGTTACACTGCAGGGTGATGGGGAGGCTGTCTCGAATAATGACCTCTTCGCTGGTGATAATCCTTGGCTCTGTAATAAGAGTACAGAATGACAGGGGGCCAGAGCTTTCCACTGTCTGTAGCCCTGGCCTTAGAGTTGGGTAGGGTAGGAGGGGGAAGACTAGAAAAAAAGAGAGGGCAGACAGGACCACATGAGGACTTTCACTTTATCACTTTGGAAGAGGTCAAGAAAGAAAAACAATGATTATAAGCAAATGACCACTAGCGCAGACAACAGCCTGAAGACCAGTTGGCCTAGACGTGAAAGAATGGGAGTAATACAGGTGCTTGTATTGGCAAACATCCACTTATGATTTTGAATACCACCACTTAGTGATTTAAGAACCACCAACCAAATCAGCTTCTATCAGAAAATCAGGCTCCACACCTTGCAGTTCTGAAGACAAAGACAATATAATATATATAATTAATAAACTCCTATGGAGTCAATGGGCCTTGGAACAGTTAACAGGCATAATTACACTAAATGTATCCCTTTCCCCACCTTAAAATCTGTTAAACCTATGGCAAATCAGCCATGGCCATTTTTTATGCAGAAAAAGTGCCAGGTCCCAAAAGCAAACTTCCCATTGGAAGTCTCTTGCATTTTCTGAATTTTGAAGAGGGAAAATTCTTAAGGAACCATTAGTTCTTCTCTCCAGCCCATATTTATTCCAAAAAAAATTTTTTTTTCAGAATTGCACTTTAAAGCACATTCCACGTCAAGACAATATAATTATACTAAAAGTGCGATATGTCTTAGTATTATGGGATCCTAAAATTTTAGAGTTGCAAGGCCCTTAAGATTTTATGGACTGTCTCTCTTTTTAAGACCTAGAAAGGTAAAATGACTTGTACAAGGCCATAATTATTATTAGTGTCAAAACTTAAGACTAGAAAACACATCTAACTAAATTTTCTATCCCTGCCTCCCATCCCCAAGAAACCCCACCCCCAAACTTCCACCCTAAAGGAAGGTACATATACTTCACTTTCTGATTCTATCTTGGGTTTACATAAATTAGGATTGCCAGTTTAACTACAAAAATAACCTATGAGTCAAATATTGTAACACATTAAGAGAATATTTTAAGTCACTCTATCATTTGTGGAAGGTTTATCTTTAAAGCACTTCCTTGCTACATTAAAGTTTCTGTTACTTGTCTTTTGTTGCCTTTCATCTCTTCCCAGGCTTAGATCTTTTTCTACTTTTGACCAAACATTTTCAGGTGAAGTCTAAACTAATCAGCTTTTCCCATCTACAGTAAGAGGTGTTGCTCCCCCCACCCCCATTCTTTCTCAGTAACCCATGACTGACTTCCCATTTCCCTGTATCTGGCTACTTCCTAATTCCATCTCTAAAACAGCTCCCCCTCACCACTTCAAGCAGTACAAGTTCTGATTCTTAACTCTTGAGGACAGAACTGTCTCCCTGTGGAACTGTTTTGGTTGTTGTTCAGGGAGGGGAAGAGGATGGAGAAGTCACCAGATATCTGGAAAATGTAATACCTTAAGGACCTCCTAACCAATGTAACATTTCTGACTATAAAGTTAAGATCGTCAAAGAAACGTGTGATAAAGCAAATCCAAGTTTTCTCTAATAACAAACTAATTCTAACTAATTTCCAATTCTGGCAAAAGGCTAATGGTTATATTCTATTCAGCACTGGTCCTTATTGGTAACATCAAACAGGGTCTCTAGGTACAGATAATGGAGGCATAGCAGCCACTAAGACAAAAGCAGATGCATGTAAACATGTTAGCGCAGTGGTGTCCCATGGTTTCAAGACACACTGGACAGAAGCCAAATCCCTGGGCCTTAAGAAGTTGAGCAGAACAGCTGCAAACCCTGCAATGGAAGGCGCACACACACCACCAGCAGAAAGCATCACAATTCCAAGAAAAACCAAAACCAAGCAAAATAAAAGAGAAAAAGATAGAGCCAGTACTCCACAGAAGAGAAATTAAAAAATATCAAGGCAACATTAAAACCCAAACACACTTTTAGATTTTTACTGAATTTTTTTATTATTCAATTTCATTTTCTGTCCTACTTGAGACTCTCCCTCTGGTTCTTCCTCTCACTGAGAAAAGGTGAACTCTGAGAATGAGGCTAAGAGTTTCCAGATGTTTAAACACACGGAGGCCAAAGTAAATGCTACTCTTACCTGTGACGATGCAAATGACCACTGCAGCTCAGGGAGATTAAGAAGTTGATGAAAGCAACCTGGTAGACATTCTGCCAAGAATTCTTGGAAGGCAAAAGAAAGCAGTTTTCCCTTAAGTGTTAAAGATTCCGGAGGAGGTCAGCTGGGAGCAAGTGGATAATTTAAACAGGTTTAAATATAATTTTGCATCACTGTTGGGTTGTGGGGTGAGGTAACCTGCTTCAGGTGGTTACTGTATATGGAAACCAATGCTAGACCAACCTTCTTGGTTGTGGTGCCACATCTGTATTCTGCACCAGGATGAAGGTGGGGCTTTTATTTCTGTGGCTGAGTGCTGACGAGTAAAAGTCCAAGAGAGATGAACATTAAGGAGAAGTTCAAACATTTTTACCTACCACTGATTCCTACTCAGAAGCACTGTGTTGTGGCCAGAGAGATGCCCTAAAAACTGGGCACATTTCTTTCTCTTCCTGCCTTACATTACTCAGAGAGCTTTGGGAAAAGTATTGCCAGGGGGTCATTTTTAGAAGACTTCCATCTCCCCATGGAGGCAGTGTCGTTGGGGATGCCTAAAATCATAAAACAATCCTATTAAAGTTGAATTCAGGGTATTAAAAAAAAAAAGAAAGAAAGAAAAGCAGCAGCAATAGCGTGGCTCTCCAAAAACAGCTAAGTTGGGTTAAATGACTGAGCAGGACCATCTGGGGGGAGTCTGATTAGCCAGGATTTGGTTCACCACATGCAAACACCCCTAAATAAAGAAACTTGCTTCTCATTAAACAGGGGGATGTTATATACTCTTGGAATTTATGGTAGGTACCCCCAAAACCTTGTCTTTTTCTAGCCCCCAGGTATGGTCTTTCTAGCTATGAGTCAAGCTGTTAGAAGTAAAACTACCAAATGCCCTGTCTAGTCCATGCCTACAAACTTCAGCAGACCATTGTGGCCATCTGGGTAATTCTGCTATTATAAGGAAAGGAGCAGGGGGGGGCAGGAGAAGGCGTGCAAGGGAAAAAATTGTTTAAAAAAAAAGGAAATAAAAATTGCTGGGTTAATGGTCCCCATTTTCACACAGACGGGGTTTTCTTTTCCCCTTTACAGAAGCAGGTTCTCTGATTCAACAGTGCCAACTGCAGCAGCCTCTCTTGGGTCTCCTCTAATGCCTCTTCTCCCTCGCCTCTTAGGAATCTTCCAAGTAGCTACAAAACATAGGCATTGTGTCTTGCTACTTTCCGTAGAAATATATAGATTCACAGTCCACATCGTATTACCTCCTGTGTTATTACCAAATTCCTCATGAAATAGTATTTTACTGTATTTATTCTCTTTCTCTAAATCAGTCAGCAATTTAAGTTAGACTTGGCTACAGATCACTCACTAAGCGCTTGAAGATAGTAACCCCAGAGGATCCTTCTATTAAACAGAAAGTGTCCCTTCAATTAGAACCAGGTCTAATGCAAGGACTGGAACTCTTCCTGGCCAGGAGCAACAGTTCTATGTGGCTTCTCCCTCCTTCCTACCACACAAATGGACAAGTCACTTTCCAAAAAGAGAAGTGGCTACCCAAGCTGTTATATCAGCTGTCTCACTTGTACCTGCTCAAATAGATGAAGAGGACTCTGACACAGCTGCTCAGCTCATTCCATCACTTAAAGGAATGGGGTTGGGATTTAGTTTCTCCTTTTTTCAGGACACAAAGAAAATGCCAGTGTGAATGGCTTCCAAACTGTTTCTGGGGTTGTCATCCTCTGGGACAACGAACCCTGTGCCAACAGTCAGTCATCAAAATCAAACTGCCATTAAAGGAATCAGATGTAATTCTGACTTTAAAAGTGTGATGGGCTTTAAAAAATATATTTTGTAACTCTGTATTGCCTAGCTTCTAATGGCAAGACATAGGGAAGGAAGGCTGCTTTTAAGAAGACTGATGTAATGGGCAGGTACAGAGAGGAGTGACTGCTGCAGAGGAGGCTGCTGTCAGAGAAGCACATGCCACTGGTTTAGAAAAGAAAAAAGCTGGAATTACAAAACACCCAAAGCTTCATGCCACCCAGCAGTCAAAACATACTACCACACTATACCCAGGGCAACATTCCCATCACAGAACAAGACACCAAGTCACAATGAGGAAAAGGGCTGGGCAGACACAAACTTAAAACCATAGAGGTGAAGGCAGCTACTCAGAGAGCTTCAACAGATGAACAGAAGAAATAAAAAGTAGTTAGACTGGGGAGAGAAACAAAAAATGGAAAGGCACCAGAGAAGAAATCATCAAAAGGATAGCAGGAAACCTACTATGAAATTAAAAGAGGAGGGAAAGAAACAATTTCAACACTACCCTCATTTGACTGACTGTTTTTGTGTTTTTAAAAAAAAAAAAAAAAAAAAAAAAAAAAAACCTCCCCAGTTCTCCCTTCCCACCTCTCCCCAATGCAGATGATTTTGGACAGTCACGGATATCCTCAAGTTCTTTGTTCCTGAGGAGAAAGACACAGAGAAGGGTTGGGGATAAGGGAGGCAAAGGACGGCAAAGAAGAAAAAAAAGTTGCCACAGATGTTTTCATACACTACAACCAGAAAGGTCGTGGATTTGAAAAAAAAAAACAAAGACAATGGGTGGGGTGAGCGATCATACTGGGGAAGAGGGAAAGGAAGCAGAGGGAAGGTCATCGGGCCCCCTCTAAGGACTACAGTACTACTACTGTAGGGAGCTGGACTCACTCTGAAGGACGCTTATGGTGGCCTGGGCTCGAATCCATGTTATGGAGGGGTTTTGCCTCAAGTCATTCCTCTTGGGGTCGTTGCTGGCCCTGCACTCGTAAGTCCCAGAGTCCTCCAAGGTGAGCCGGGTTATCCTCAGCACACTCACGCCGTTTGACCCGTAGGCGGTGTTTACGGTGACACGGCGCTTCCGAGCACCGTCCCACAGCTGTCTGAAAGACTCTGCCCGGTTGACTTCTGCGTACCACCACTGGATCTCTGGCGTGGGGCTCCCGACCACGTCACAGTACAGCTCAAAGGCGTCCCCCGTGAGCTTAGTTTCTGACATGGGCGACTTGACAAACCCAGCTAGAGGGAGGGGGAGCAGGAATGCAGTGACAGGCCAACCAGAAAAAAAAAGAATCAACAGGTGTTAATAGTAATTTAAAGAAAAGAAAAGAAAAAAAGCAAATGAGTTGCAAAGAACAAAAAAGGATTCATTTTTAAACTATAAGGAGACAGTAACAGCAATTCATACAAGCTTTCAGAAGAAGAACCACCCTGGGAAGCTTATGAAGCAAAGGCAGGCCAATTACAAGCTGGGGCAGCCCAGGTGCTGGCCAGGCAGAAGCAAGCCCACTGGAAAGCACTTTAGCAATGGGCCCAGCTGTTAGGAATGAGAAAGCCTCAGGTCTGGGGAAGAGCCTCTTTCCTTACAGCCCAAACCGTTACCTTTCCAAACTCAGGCAAAGTGATGAAAGATAACCGGAAGTGGCAGTAGGTTTATAAGCCAAGTCAGGACTTCTCTTTTGGATGGGTAAGCATTTCACTAGAGATGCAATGATTTTTGTAAGCCTCAACAAGAAGTATTAATTAATCTGCTGGTACCTTCTCTTGGGATTCAGAGTCCAAATTTCAGCTAAAAGGTAGCAAAATTTCTCACATGCAGGACTGTATCCTGAGTTCAAATTAGACTTTCCCCATCTCCTAGTCTTCCCTGGGCCTATGGCAAACAGAGAGCACAGTTGTTTGTGATCAGGGAACCTCTACCTGAATGCAGACCCTCAGGGACAGGAAAACAGGACCATTCATACTTCACACTAGAGTGACAATTACTACTGGGGTCAGCTCAGGAGCTGAACCAGCAATAACAGCAACCCAACTCGTTGCCAGTGAATGGAGGGATTATGCCCTTTATAATCCCATAAATTCATACAACTAGAAAAATCTCCTACAAAGTCAGTCCTTAAAATAATTATTCCTGACCGACTCTCTCTACATAATTTAGTTGCCTGGCTTCTAGAAGTCAGCTCAAAAAGAATGAGAAATATATACAGATGAATTAAAACTAAACACTAGGGTGAAGACCAGGTGTCTACCAACACTGCCAGTCACTGCCCAGGAACTAAAATTGCTCTAATTTGCTTGAGATTTTATTTCTGTAAGACAAGGTGGCAACAGCAGAGAACACAATCATCCAGATGTATTTTAAAAACATGAAAATAAATAGAAAATAAAGTCACAGTGTAAAGCACACTCACTCTCATCCACTCACTCCACTTCGGGTTTGTTCCGCATTTCTACCAATTCAGGCAGTGTACTAAGGTATAAGGCAAAAAGCTAAAAGAGGGCATTCTGAGTGGCTTGGGGACTTCCCTTGGGAGGTGTGGCTCATGAGTTAAACCAGTCCCTCTGCAGTAAGCAGAGAGTGGGGTCAGAATCTGCCAATATTGAACATTCCAATAAGAACATTCCAGAGGAGAGGAAGAATAAAATGAAACAGTTTTCCTACTGTCTTGAAGCCAAGGATGTACTGGGCTACTAAAAATGGAAGCTGGTAAGTGGAAAATTTTCTCTTTATACCCTATCAGCATTTGCCTTGGAGATAACCCTCCCCACGGATCTAGTAAGGGGAAGGGAAGGGACGTATACTTACTGAAGCAGAGGTCAAGACCTCGTATTCAAACTAGTCTTTCAATTCCTGAAACTTTCAGAATCTAAAGAGCACAAAATTCAGTGATTAACAGGCTTAGAATAAATGTTCCGCCTTAAATGTGCTATTCTAAACTACCTCTTCAGATCCAGAATTCATTCCTTGTAAGGAACTATCTATCACAGGCCCCAAGCAGCCAAACAGATGTCATTCTCAGACACAGGAGAAGTTTCATAATTACAGAAAGGAGCCCCTAGACCCTGTAGGAAGAGCTGAGCTCACTGCCAGAAAAAGTGGTATTCAAGGAGCTATGTCTCAGTCAATCTCATAAACTGCCACCTGCCCATCTGTCAGTCAATGCTAGAAAATAAAAAGGGAGAGGTAAAGGAAGCTAGTTTCATTCATTTTACTATCAGCTCAATCACCAGAGAAAAACTTATCAGTGAATTCCTGGAATATAATAAAGAATCTCACTGTTTTAATCATATTCTTGACTTTTATTTGGAAAACACAAATGATCACAAATGGCTTTATTTTCACATTCTCTGCGAATCTGGGGCATTAATAAACTCTCAAATGCTATTGTTATGTACTTGATTATGCCCTAAAAATCTGTTAGTGAACTTGTTTTCTGTACTTCAAAGCAGCTTAGCCCAACTGACCATGCTAATATAAGAAATGTTCAAAACCAGCCAGAACCCATCCAATTCCAGCGTAACCCCAAATCTCAGTATCATGCAATTCAAATGCAGTCCGAATATAATTCCCACTACACAAAACTAAGCGAGAGTCACTCAGCCTGACCATGCCACCCCAGACAAGACTTCCTATTAAGGAGAAAGAAATGCTAATCTGATTCAGTTCAATTTTCTACCTGTACTGAGGAACATGGGACCAAGTCAAAGAATAGCTTTGACTTGGTGATTTACAAGTGCATTTAAACAAACTTATTAAAAAACGAGATTAAAAATACCTTCAAACACTGACAATGGACCTCTTTCTGTGCTGCATTCAAAGTTCATTATAATTACTTATTAGACATATCTTAACAGGTAACATTATCTAACTATGTGTTACATGTTAGGTAATGTGCTAAGCACTTTACATACACTATCCTCACAACTGCTTTATAAAATAGGCGCCATCCAGAATCGTCTTAAAGAAGTAGAAACTAAGGGCTGGGAGCATGACTTAAATGGTAATGCACTTGCCTAGGAAGTGTGCGGTCCTGAGTTCAAACTCTAGTTCTGTTTAAAAAAAGAAAGAAAAAGAAAGAGGAAACTAAGGTCCAAAACGTTAAGTATTTTGCCCATTGTCATAAGCTAATGACGGTCTAGCTGGGAATCCAGATGTGTCCCATCAAAGCATGTCTCTTTACACTTTCCACAACCGCAGTTAATGTGTTTTACAAGGCTAGAAAAGCCTTTGTAAGCATTTAAACGTTAAAAGATACACTTTGTCATTGTTTAATTTAATTAATAAATAATTCCTAGCCACAATAAGCTGGGAACCTTCCACTGGAATGTACAACATGTAACTCCTTAAAATTATACTCTTACTAACAGATGGAGAGAGGAGCACTAAATCAAAGACTTCCTAAAGCAACTAAGGGAAGTGGGGAGTGAACAGTGAGAAAACAGAAGAAACGACTTTCTAGTTCTGACAGTTCCAATGGCCTGCTATTGAGAAGGCTGGCTGCAGAGAACACAAGATGCATTTCTCTAATGTTGTAGTCAGAGGCCAAATTAATAAAGGGCAGCAACCCTTGAATTTATAAAACCTGACAGTTTGCTAACTGTACCAACATCTTATTTTATTCACAAAGGTCTGCAAGGTTCATCGGGCAGATGCAGAGCTTGGTTCATGACTTGCCCAAGATCACTTAGGTGGCTAATTCTAAGTGGAGCTTGGACTCAAACAGAAGTCTTCAGTTCTTAGTCCAGGGTTCTTTCCAGTGAACTATGCTATCCCTACACAAACCAACTAGGGGATACCTTGATAGCTGAACACTCATCAAATATCATGAAAGTAGACCTATTTCTCCTCCAAACAGCAGGAAAAAGGGGGTGGGGGTCCTTTCCAACATAGTACTGTGAAATCACAAATAACAAGAGAAAGTTATTACCAACCATCCACCTTAGTATCCATCTAAAATTAGCTCTAATTCAGGAGAACTGGCTCTCAGAAGCAGCAGGAGACTGGCAGTTCAGAACCTGACTCACTGTCCTGGCCATTCATTACCAAGGGCTTTCAAACAATTATATGCCCTTAACATGAAAGCACACAACTGCCTAAAGTTGAAAGGCCAGCCAAAGCACCTATTTGATCTCCAGGTCAAGGCTCATCCCATTATTTTGGAGAAGACCTAAATTACAGAATAATAATCTCTCACATCACCCTGACCCCCTTCCTTAATTGACTATGCTCAGATCTGAAACAGTCTTAGAAAGTCTGTTCTAAGTCTTAATATCAATGTGCTCAGTTCAACAACGAAATGATAGAGGGCTCTGGAGGAAGGAGGGACTGGAAACTGGTACTGGAGGGGAGATGGCAGGCATAGTATTAAAAAATGGAGGCAGCAAAACCAGGAAGTATAAAGTAAAATTGCATTAACTGAGGTTGGGGGATGGGAGGTAGAGATGACAGCTGGGGCTAACAGAGAAAAGGAGGAGCTCTCTGGCAGTAAAAAGTGGATGTGTAGATATGTAGCAGAGGGTGAGAAGAAAAAGGAAACACAGAAGAGCAAGTTGAGCCCAATCTCAAAAAAACAGCTTTCACATACCCTCTAAGGGGCAAAAAAAAAAAAAAAAAAAGCTAGCCTAACCCTGTACAGGAGGGACTATCAGTGATTTTTTAACAGTCAAAAATTTTTTACCTCCACCACAAAACAGGTAATAAGTCTATGTTCTCTCTTCCCTCAAGTAAAGCCAGGTCTTTAAATCTTGCGTGCTTTTGTCACTTTTTTTAAACAGCTATTCCTTCCAAGCCCTCTATACCACTAATTCCCTGTGGGTGTCTCATCCTGTCCTCTCCTTCATTTCTCACAATAAAGAGGAAATGAGCACCAAGGACATAACAGCCTTCCTCCCATCTGTTGCCTCTTTCTTGCCTGCATGCTCTCAAGCCATCTACCTCTACCAAAGAAGACTAAGCAAGACTCACTGATACCTAAATGTGGTTTTAAATACTGAGTATCTCTAATCTGTCTGAGTGGCCAATAGCTGCTGTAAAGCTATTACAGACTTGAGCCCATAAAGGCTACTGTCCAGTCTGCCTATCTATATTGTTGATTAAAAAAAATTTAAGTGTGAATGATGATTTAATGCCAGGCTGGGAAAATTACTGACTGTTGTTTTGTTTGTTTTCCCAGATCCATGGATTTGGGATTTGAGGGAAACTGAGCCATGTCTTTGCTCAACTCCAGCCTGCAGTTAGA